ATGGGGACATGCTGTTCTCCTTCCCCATTAAACTAGATCCTCCTCCAATGAGTCTGCCTCAACCAATGCATCACCAAAGTCAGGTGCACGTGTCTGCACTCGTGCCCTCAGTCGCCCCCCATGTTCACCCGAATCCTCACCCCTTGTTGATCACTCCCACCTGTTTCCCTGTCTCCATGATCTATCAGTCACTCTCCATTTCTACTGAGACTAAGTGAGACCAGACCAACACATCTTATAATTCAGGTGTTGTTCTTTTGGATAATGGGAAAAGAAAGTTTGTGTGTTTAATGATAACTTATGAAAACAGTTTATCTCTTAAAGGGCAATGAAATTCTAGGACTCTTAAAACATCAAAATGAGGAATTAGAACTCAACTACTGTTAATAAAAAGTGACAATCATAAGCATATCATTATGTTTCCCTAGATAAGGAAACTATTCACTGAAACAATATTTACTGAGTATCAGATACTTTCTAGGCATGGGAAACACATCAGCGAACAAGACAAATCCCTGTGTCTACGGATATAATATTGTGGCAAGGGAAAGTGTTATTTTTTTTAAGAAATCAACAACAGAATTTCCAAATGGTTTTAAATTCTAACAAAAACTATTCAGTCTTCAAATATTAATTAATAAGAAGGCTACAAATGACAATAATTCAATTGTCATTTTTCCTAGATATAATAAAATGCAAAAAGAACAGAATTCCCCCCAGTCCTCAGAAATGTCCACTTTGCATGAACCCCAGGACCTCTAAAAGCAAGCCCTTAGCTATGGTCCCAGCTGTGGCTTTCTGGTGTGCCAAGCCAAGCATTGACCCATCCCTGAAACTGAAGAGCCTGCCGATTTTGGAAGACAGTGGTTCTGTGTCCATGTCTCCCCAAGATTTCATGTCACCCTTGGGCTCCCTCACATTGAATCTGACAGACCAGTCTGGAAATGAAGCGAACATGGTCTGCAGTATCCGGAAGCCCTCCCAGACATCCTCCATTGCACTCACTGAGGAAAATGACTACATCATGCTAAATACATCATTTTCAACATTTCTGGTGTGTAACATAGATTACAGTCACATTCAGTCAGCTTGGCAAGTTGTGGCTTTGTACAGTGACTTTCCTCTGATACTAGAAAGGAGCCACTTGCTCCCTGAAACAACACAACATGGCTACCAATATAATCAAGTGGTTCCTGAGCCCAAAGACATTTTTACCAACATAGAGGCTGTTCTCAAAGCAGATCCCCTTTGGCTAATGCAAGACAGAATTTCCTTGCAACTAAACAGAACTTCCACCACACTCAGTGCACTGCAGATCCAGTACTCTAGTGATGCTCAGATCTCTTTACCAAGGGCAGAGATGAGGCCAGTGAACCACAAATGGACCATGATTTCCATGGATAACAATACTAAGCTGGAACGCACTGTTTTGGTCAGTGGGACCATTGACCTAAAATGCTCAGGCCTGGGAGATCCCACATCTGGAGTGGGTTCTAACTGATGGAAGTAAAGTGACACCCCTTATGTTAGTGAGGATAGATGAGTCCTAATAGACAGAAGTGGCTTCAGATGGCTAACAGCTTTGACACAGGCACATACCACTGCATAAGCACCAATTAAGATGATCCAGATATTCTCACCTACAGGATTACTGTGGTAGAGCCCTACATCAAAACCTACCATGAAAATTGTATTCATCACACAGCATTCATTGATGAAACACTTGACCTCCCATGCCATTCTACTGGTATCCCAGATGCCTCTGTTAGCTGGATTCTTCTAGGAAGAACTGTGCTCTAAAAGTCCTCAAGAGACAAATTCTCAACAACGGCACACTAAGGATATTACAGATCACCCCAAAAGACCAGGGTCATTATCATTGTATAGCAGCCAACCCATCAGGTATAGATTTTTTGATTAACAAAAATTTCAATCAAAACAAAAGGGCGAAAGACAGTGGACCGTGATGTAGAAACAGATGGCTCTGGACTGGATGAGCCTAATCCCGCGGCTCACTCTCAAGAGCCCCCAGTCACCCAACCCCCTACAGCTGCTCCAGTGGAACCTGCAGTGGGAAACCAAGCCTCCAGCACGAGGGAGAAGCACAACTACTGGGAACCAGTGCACCTGGGGGGGTGGAGATTCAACAACCTGCCACTTTAGGGAGCACAGGAAGCAGTTCCCTCCCTCTCTTCAGAGAATTGACCCATTACGCTGGGCAGCACTTTTGGAGAAAGAATGTTGTGTCAGAGAGGAAGGAGAAAAGCACAACAAGGCCACTTCCCCTGGTCACCGAGCTCCTGGACATACATGGTGAGGAAGTGGACTCTTCAGGCCTGCTCTCTCCAAATGAGGAATTTAAGGTCCTGGCAACTGAAGTTCGCAGTGTTCTGGTAAGGATCAGGGCTGCCCACCCCAGGACAGTATCTAACAGCCCTGTGACAAATACAACAGCTGGCACCAAAGTCTCCCACATTGCAAGTCCACAAACACTACCACCAGGGAAACCAGTAGATTCCAAACGGTATGCTGCTGCTGAAACTACAGCTGTGTCAATGGATGTAAACCGAGCCACATCAAGCAAAAGGCAAGGTGCAGCAAACCAAAAGGTACCCACCATCTCTCTTCTGCTACCTAAAGAAACTCAGTTTCATGGCAGTGACGACATGGGGAAGAGGAGAGAGCATCTGGAAACTGTCCACCCAGTAACAGAGGGAACTGCAGCTGAAGATGTCAATATCAAAATGCTTCATAGTGCTAACAACAAAGCTGATGTGTTCTCAGGGGCAGTAAGTGCCATGGAAAGTCATCAGACATCTGTAACAGGAACCAGTAAACCCAGGAGCAACTGCATCTCTTCTCCTATGACTCAAAAGCTTAGCATCTCTAAGCGCCCGTTGAGCACACACACTCCTGCATATTCTCAGTTACAGATTTCTAGAAATAGTACAATTAACATCCCGTTATACAGACGCTTTGGAAGATGGAGGAAAATCTGGGGCAGGGGGAAAATTATCAGCTCATACAGAACTCCACTTCTCTGACAGCACAGATACAGCTTTGTGAGACCAATTTTCAGAGGCTCTTCTGAAGAAAGTGGCAGTGCATTTCCATCCACAGGGCACAACAAGGGCTGCCCGTCCAGTTCTCCCAAAGGCTCGCCACTTCCACAGCAGCAAGGCCTTTTCCAAGTTCTTTGACCATTTCCTCCACTAAAGCTGAAATTGCCACAGTCACTGCAGCGCATCTACAACTCTAGTCCACGGTCCATTGTTACCATTTGAGAACAGACCAAATGTACACACTGAGAAAACAACACCCACGATAAAATATTTCAGTACTGAAGGTACACAAGTGACTCCAGCTGGTGCAGTCATGACTCTTGCCGCAATAGCCTGGGTATTTATGGAAAAAGCTCACATAAAAAATATTGTTTACCAAACTCAAAATGGATCAAAGACCTGAATGTAAGTCATGAAACCATTAAACTCTTGGAAAAAAACTTAGGTAAAAACCTCTCAGACATAAACATGAGTGACCTCTTCTTGAACATATCACCTCAGGCAAGGAAAACAACAGCAAAAATGAGCAAGTGGGATTACATTAAGCTGAAAAGCTTCTGTACAGCGAAAGACACCATCAATAGAACAAAAAGGAACCCTACAGTATAGGAGAATATATTTGAAAATGACAGCTCTGATAAAGGCTTGACGTCCAGAATATATAAAGAGCTCACACACCTCAACGAACAAAAAACAAATAACCCAATTAAAAAATGGGCAGAGGAACTGAACAGACAGTTCTC